GGTGTTCTCCGACGTGAGCTGCGACGTGACGAATCCCCACAGCGTGTTCCCCATCTACGACCACCTGACCAGCTTCGTCCACCCGACCGAGTGCGTGGCCGAGCAGCCCACGCCCCTCGAGGTCATCGCCATCGACCACCTCCCGTCCCTCGTGCCCCGGTTTGTCGCCCTCTCGTCCCCCAAGCCACAGCAACGGCGCCCCGCTGGGCTCGCTCACCCGACTTGCGCGTGTTTTTTATTGGGGGGGGGGCTATATCAACAACACAGAGAGAGCAGCAAGGAGTTCGGCGATCTCATCGTGGAGCACATCCTCCAGTTCGATCAGGTGCGTGGCTTTCCTCAAGTGGGTGTAGTTCCCCGCCGCAAAATAATTGACCGCATGTACACCACTTGTGTGTGTGTGGCGTGCACAGACGCCCGTGTGGAGCCGAGCGCTGAAGTTGTTCGACGAAAAGGTGCAGCCCTTCCTGCCCCCGTCCCCGAGAGCCGCGGCATGAGCCGTGAGCTACCAACCTTTACATGGCCACACAAAATACATGAAATACGGGCGAAATTACGACGATATTATGCTCGAGACCAGATCAGTGGGACGCCCCCTGCGCTAGCTGTGGCGTAGGTTGAGGGGAGAGAGGATTTAGAAACCCACACACACACCACCCTTGGAAGCAAACAACGAAGAAGCAACAGCCGCAAGAACAAGAAGAGGAGGAAGATGACGATGCTCGAAACAGCAACACACATGCCGATGCTGGCCAGCGACACCACCACCACGGCCGCGAGCAGCGCCTGGGGAATCGGGCAGGAGAAAGCAGCAGCAGCAGGAGGAGGAGCGGAAGCGGAGGTGGTGAGGGGCGAGGTGAGGAACCGGGCGCGCTTCGAGGCGGCCCTGGCCGGCATCCTGGGCGCCGACTTGGCCCCGCGGGGCGCCGCGGCCGGTCGCCTGTACGAAGTGTTCGTGGCGTATTTCCTGCACCAGGCCCTCCACCACGACAAGGCACTCTCCGCCCACCGCCTCACCCTCACCCTCCTGGGCGACCCCACGTACCTCCCCCCTCCCCTTCGCTTTTGCTTCGTTTTCGCTCTTTTCTGCGGTGCAGCGCAGCACCAACCAACGGCGTGGGCGGATGATGGTGGCAGGGCGCCGGAGAAGGGGCGTCGGCTCAAGTACAG